TTCAGTTTGATTTCCTTCTATTAATCTATTCAGCATTTCTGCAAACTGCTTACTGTCTCTTTGTCTCATTATTTGTTTGAGTTCGAACATTTGGAATAATTCTTGCCAGAAATTTGGTGCAAGAATACCATATTCAAAATTATCCATATCTTTAAATATATATCCATCCATCACTGATTGTAGTTGGAATAAATCACCAATAGCAATAATGCTAACACCACCAAATGGTAGTGGGCTACCTTTGATATCCTTAAAGAGCATATGACATGAAAACAGTTTTTTGTCCATTGAAAGAACGCTATTCAAAAACCTCAAATCTCGGGTTATACTGCAGATATATCAATGTTTCCATTTCCAAGCGACCCAGGATTACGTGAAAAATGGACAAAGCTMGTCCGTTTACACAAAGCGGACTTTAAGATCCGAAAAAGAAAAACATATCGTTGTGCTCGGCACATTTTAAAGAAGAATGTTTTACATCGCCGCTATTGAATCTAGTTATACAATTATTATAACCATAGTTAGTTTATAACTACAACTAACAATACCCTTTTTTAGCGTTTCAAAATCCGATTGTGTTCAAGCTACTAAAACTTTATAGTGTAAACACGGGCTGGCGTAGCCGGGTTCATTGTATTAAAGCAGACATTTTTTAGCGGTTAGTAACAATTCGTGTATTTGAGTCAATACGCAGCATTTTCAAGTACAGTCCAAGTGTTGGTTTACAGAATTCAGGTTCTATACACCCATCGAAAACTAATTTCCCTTGAACAGTTTTAACTATTAAAAGCTTCTAAACAACAATGATTTTCTGTTCATGTTCTGTTCGCCGCTAGACTCTCATTAAGCTTCCTGTTTCTTTGTTTACATCTTTTGAGACAAGAGTTTGCGTACGCATACTTTTCACATCTCGTTTTATACACTTCTCTTCGAGCAAGAGTTTGTTTATATAAGTCTAAAGGGTCTTCAATGCTGGTCTGATATACGGCCGCGATTCTATGTGCGATCACTTCAGCATTATTTTAGCTATCTTTTTTTTATCCTGAATCGCCATAATTTCGTCTGATTCTGACTATTCTATATCCACATCGGTATTGCATAATAAGGCGCTAGTTTCTGACTCACAATCCGATATATTCGAAAGAGGTTTTACTGGCGCAAAGAGAAGATTGTGGAGTCCAGAAATACTAAGCCAACAAAATGACGTCACAACGCTAGTATCCAGTCCCCCAAAATGGGACAAAAATCAGAGGAAAATTGCTAATTTCAAATAGCTGTAACTTGACAGGTTTTTATCAGAATTGAAAAATATTTTAGATTTAGGGTTTTCAAATAACGTTCTTTCACTGGACAAAAAACTGTTTTCGTGTCATATGCTCTTTAAGTCTATTGTTGAATTGTACATTAAACATGGTATTTCCAACCATGGAGATTTCATCTACAAATATAAGTTTCACTCCACCAATTTGACACCTGAGTGTATTCAATCTACCAGAATCAAGCTTTTTATATTGTCTCAATGACTGGCATGCTGGTATTGCTAGAGCACTGTGTATAGTGTTACCTTTAATATTGTAAGCTGCTTTACCAGTTGGTGCTAGCATTAATACTTTTATCTCAGCAAAGTTAACACCTGGTATAGTGTTATAATATTTTATGGCTGCTTGGTATTCAGCTTTAGTAAGATGTTATTTTCCTACACCAGCACCTCCACTAAGAAAACAGTAGAAAGGTTCATCAGATGTCTTAATAAGATGCAGTACATGATAAAATAATTCCTTTTGTTCTTTATTCAATGTTTGTACCATATGCCTGTATTCTTCATCTGGCAATTCATTCATTGTCAAAGGTTCAGTATAATTAACTGATAGTATTCCTAAGTCATCTGAAAGGTTATAGTTTTCATTGAAATCAGGGTGCAAGTCCTGATTACCCTCAGCAGAATCTTCATGTTCAATGCTTTGAGTGCTTGGAGCTAAAGTATCATATCTATCTTCCATTCTATTCATTGCTAATTCTATATCACTAAAATCTTCTCTACATACTGCATATTGCTTCATTTGTTCATCGACCATATTGTGAACTTGAATAAATCTTTCTTGATAAGAAGAACAATTACTAAGAAGATCAATTTCTTCATTATGCCATGAGGTAAATAGCATTAACAATTCTCGATAATGCTTCTCTGGATCAGATTCTTTGTTAAACCACACACTTCTGATTATTCTAGCTTTATTTCTCTTTTTCGATTTTCCAGTATTACTTTGCAATTCATAATCATCATCATTTTGATTATCATCAACAAATGATTCTAGAGGTAACCCATCAAAATCTATTTCATCTGTTTGTTTGACATAAGGCTTTCCACTACTATCATACCAGGCAGCCCAATCTGCCAATGTGACATTTTCTAGTTTTGCTGGACGTTCACAGTACCGTTTTATCAATCCACTAGTATATATTTGTAATGTTGTATAGACTGCTTCCTGAGCACTTATTTCCACATTATTGACAAATTTACTGCCAATGTCTCTAACCTGCTGTTTAATGTTCAAATTTCCTTTTCTGGCTTCAGCACAAGCCTCTCATAAAAGTTGATATGTAATTCACTATGTACACAGCACAACCATAGACATCAAGTACAAACTGAATATCCATATTAGCTCTCCATGCTTTGAGACAAGCGGCATTGTAATTGTTGACACGTAATTCATTTGGGTTTCTCTTGAGAAAAACAGTGGGTGTATTCAGTGATGATCTAATAGCATTAAGATAGTCTTCCTCACTAACATTCAAATTCAATAGCAACTGTTCAAAAGAGATATCCTCCCCTTCTATCATATCATCTAGATATTTCTTTATTGTTTTCCAATTATCTTTGTGCATTTTTATCTCACTGTCAGGTGTCTCATTGTCTAAAGGATAAATTATCATAGTTTCCCTCAAAGGGGGTTGTGGATAATTGAATCTAAACTGACTTCTAGTATTCTTACGGCAAGTATGACAATGTCTGTGTATTTGTCTACCATTCACTAAATCAGGTAAGCATGCATCATCTATTGCCTTTTGACATGTTATGATGTTATCAATGAATGCTGTGACATCCTTATCTCTATCGACTTTAAACTGAGGTGCGCCATCTAGCCATATTAACATGTGAATATGAGGGGATCCTCTTTGTTGATATTCTACACGGTAAAACCAATCAGATATCTTATCCACTCTTACTGTATTAGTCACATCACCAGGTACATTCACAATATTTCCATGAATCTTAAGTTGATTGCCTCTAGGAGCTTGCATTAATTTTTGAAATGCAATTCTTGGTGAAAGTAATCTACACTGTAATTCATTAAGGTCAAAGAAATCTGGTTTTGGGGGAAATTTCATTCCATTAAGAATACCGCATGGTGGAACTTTGTTTTTGATCAAGTATGAATGACATGTTCTACAAATCCACTCTTTGTCATCAACACTTGTCTTATCACAAAGGTATTTTGCAATTTCAGGTTTGGAAATTTTAAGTTTTCTACCATCAGATACACTATGTTTATACCACAACTGGTCACAGCAAATACAAATATATAGAGGACCTTGATTTACAAGTTTGTGAAAGTTTGACATACAGCATTCAATAGTTTGCTTACAAACATCTTCTGCTTTATCTTTTGAAGCTTTACGTAGTCTATAATTTTTCATATATGTTTTGCGCTTTGTTCTAACTTCTTGACATGGTTTCTTTGCTATATACTGTTTGTTATATTCATTGATTTTAGCCTTTTTTTCTGGACTTGCATTTTTTGCTCTATACTCTCTCTTATATTTGTTGGTTTTAGTTGTGTAAAGAAGATAAGTTGTTGGTTTTAGCCTTTTTTCTGGATTTGCATTCTTTGCTCTATGCTGTTTGTTATATTCATTGAGTTTAGCCTGTTCCTCAGGACATGATTTTTTTGTCCTATACTGTCTTTGCTTTTCATTGAGTTTTGCCTTTTTTAATGAATCAGTATTCTTTGCTCTATATTCTCTAAAATAAGCTGCTCTACTTTTCTTGTTTGAATTTTTGTTCAATTCAGAATCAACTAGCAATTTATTTTTTGGTTCAGAATCAGTGCACTCAACTTCGACTACTTCTGATATGCTAACTGTTGACTTTCTTTCTCGAGGATTTTCAACAGAATTTTTTAAGTACATATTATTTTCAACACAATTACTTTGCTGAGAATTTTGTCTAGACAAAGTAGGACTAGTAGAGACATAGTGCATTTCTCCTTCACCACCTACATCTAGAGGTCTTAAATTATATCTTAATATCTGTAGTTAAAAAGAAACCGCGTGTCATTCAATAATACTTCTCCAGTTATGTTGCATGTGGATCTAGGACCTGGGTTTAATTCAACATCTCCAGCAAGTGATTTCTGACAGACACATCATATAAACATGGACGAAATTCTTGACTGTTTGTACAAGAAATGTTTTTTTGATAAAATGATTGGTCAGAATCTTTAAGATAAATATCTTTTGGTGGTGTGTGAATGACAACACCACAATTCTTACAGTGATAGTTATATGTAAAATATTGTCTAACATTCCAAAGCTCACTATTAACAACTAAGACACACTGCACGAAAAATTGGATTCACTCTATGGTAAATCTAATGTGAATATGGTGCAAATACCATGTTCACTCACATTCAATCATATTCACTCTAAACCGTAAATCATATTCACTACCGGGTGTGTAGATGGTGTGTGCCACATTCACATCATATTCACACCACAACGTAAAACTGAAGAAAATATGACATTAACGTCTTATTTACTATAAGTATGAATCTATGACATATTTCATGTTCACTTCAGATTCAATTAGTTCTTAAATACAGCATTCACTCAATATTCAATCTTTACTTAAATATGAAG